TGGCTGGGTAGGAATGGTGTCCCTAGACTCTGTTTGACTGGAGGTGGGTGACAAGGGAGGGATCACGTGAGGATTCCCTGTTGTGTTTCCTCCCTCTGGGGCATCTGGCATCGACCACTGTGGGCAGACAGGATACTGGGTTGGATGGACTTTTGGTCTCACCCTGTCTGGCCGTTCTCATGTTCATATGACACTGCCCCATGGAACCATGGGGGTTAGTATCAACCATCTCTCTGTCTCGTCTGATGGGCTCCTGTCTCTTCCTGCTTGGTGTTCTCATGGACCTGATGGACAAGAAAGGGGCAGGTGAAGGCAGGTTCGTGTGGACCCTGGACTGCCCATCTGGACCACGGATGGTCAGCACAAGGCCTGCAGGCCACCGGTGGCCCATTGATTTTACGTGCATCCCACGAGACCTTTCGTTTGCGAGTGCCTGTACCAGATCTCACTGGTTTCCGTCCGGGTCGGTTTTTTCCCCACCGGTGTGAGTGCAATAACACGCGCGGAACGCCCGGGCACGAGGAGGGAGGTGTGCACGGATTGCACACCTCAGGGAGGGTGAGGCCCGTGCGTTCTTTCAGCAGCCAATGGTCCTGTCCTCCCCCTTCCTCCCCAGCCCGTGTGGTCAGCTGTGGTCAGAAACGGAGACATTTGAACTTGCGTTTCGATGCTCCCGTCACAACACTGCTGCAATCTGATTGGTCCCCCTCTGCACATGGCTCGGTGGATGCTTCCCCCAAAACAGTACTCCTGGGGTGCTCCTCAGCCCCCACTGGACTGGGGTACCCCAGAGTGAAGGTATCTGTGGGGTGGAAAAAAGAGGGGGAAGCTATTTCCACAGCTCGGGAGGGGGGGGTCCTGTCTGCGTCAGGGACGCTTTTTCCCACCTATGAACATCAGACACCGATCGTGGGTGTGTGATCGTGGATGCACCATACAGGGTAACAACCTTCTACTGCTGCCGGAGAACAGCCACGCCCCTTTCGCTGCAGGGCTGGGCGGGGAAGGAGTCCGCAGCTTTGGGACCCACCCAGATTTCTGTCCCTGTGTGGGAACCGGCTCTTCCTGCCCCAGTTGCCTGCACAGGATTGCTCCACGCACCACTGCATCTCCTGGCGGCCAAAGGCAGAGCGACATCCAGGCTGCACTAACCTGTCCGTGCCCCTGGGCAGAGCCGGGCACCTCCAGGGCTCGGCATGGGTCTGCCCCCCAGATCACACTCACCGCGGATTAATGGGGCTGGGGTTGCAAGGGGGGATGGGCTGGAGAGACCCCAGCCCCCATGGCTAAGAAGAGGAGCTGGCTGGGGTCATGTGGGGCAGGGTCTCAACAGAGCCCCACAGCCACTGGGTTTGATGGGTTCTCCAGTGAACTCAGTGGGGCACCAGGAGGGTTTCTTTGATCTCCCCTTTCGCAAGGTCGAGGGGCAATCCAGGAGGGGTGGGGAACGGGGCTGGCGGGTGGAGAGAGACCCCAGCCCCCATGGCTAAGAAGAGGAGCTGGCTGGGGTCATGTGGGGCAGGGTCTCAACAGAGCCCCACAGCCACTGGGTTTGATGGGTTCTCCAGTGAACTCAGTGGGGCACCAGGAGGGTTTCTTTGATCTCCCCTTTCGCAAGGTCGAGGGGCAATCCAGGAGGGGTGGGGAACGGGGCTGGCGGGTGGAGGGGGGGAGACGAACTGGTCCCAGATGGGAAACGGGGGCAGGGGGAGCAACAGTTCCCAGCCCACCCCGGAGAGGGATGGCAGGAGTTTGCTGCGGTCTCAGCAGTGGTTCTGGGCACCGCAAGTGTGGCCTCCCCCATGCCTGGGTCAGGCACCAGGTGTCAGGATCCCCCGAGCTAGGGCCACTGGCTTGGGGGGTTTGTATGGAATGCACAGCTGGGGCCCGGCACAGCTGGGGGTATGGAATGCACAGCTGGGGCCCGGCACAGCTGGGGGTATGGAATGCACAGCTGGGGCCCGGCACAGCTGGGGGTATGGAATGCACAGCTGGGGCCCGGCACAGCTGGGGGTATGGAATGCACAGCTGGGGCCCGGCACAGCTGGGGGTATGGAATGCACAGCTGGGGCCCGGCACAGCTGGGGGTATGGAATGCACAGCTGGGGCCCGGCACAGCTGGGGGTATGGAATGCACAGCTGGGGCCCGGCACAGCTGGGGGTATGGAATGCACAGCTGGGGCCCGGCACAGCTGGGGGTATGGAATGCACAGCTGGGGCCCGGCACAGCTGGGGGTATGGAATGCACAGCTGGGGCCCGGCACAGCTGGGGGTATGGAATGCACAGCTGGGGCCCGGCACAGCTGGGGGTATGGAATGCACAGCTGGGGGTATGGAATGCACAGCTGGGGCCCGGCACAGCTGGGGGTATGGAATGGGGGCAGGTGGCAGAATGAGGAGCATGTTGCAGTGGGGGAGGTCTAGGTTGGAGATGAGGATAAACCTGAGGTCTCTGCCCGCCCTGGGGTTCTAGGACCCTCCAGTCCTGCAGGATCTCCCCTGTCCTCCAGATGTTCTTGAAGATAATTCTGACGGTTCTGAGCTTGCTCCCTCCAGCGCTCCGGGAAGGATTCCTCCGGCTCCACCGAGTTAAATGCCTCTAACTTCCATAAAGAGTCTATAACCTGCTTCCCGCCTAGTCTGGCTTCTGTCCCTTCCCCCTTGCTCATGCCCACGGGGTCGAGAGTCTGTTTGCAGCCGGGGCTGGGAGGCAGGGCGCCTGGGTTCTCACCCCAGCGCTGCTGTGTCATTTCCCCCCCCTGGGCT